CCCCCCCCCCCCCCCCCTTTGGGGGAACCTTTGAGAAAATGCTCCTTCCCCTCTGTCGGTGCCGGTATACTGTCCGTATCCCATACTGCTGTGCAGCACAGCCCTGCACTCTGCATATTGAATTTCACTTGCAAATTGCGAACACTCAATGGTCGGCGTACACTCAGGTGACAACGCTGACCCATGAGTGCTCGCTATTTGCAAGCAAAATTCAAAGTATAGAGCACAGATCTGTGCTGTACAGCAGTATGACGTACAGGCAGTATACCGGCGGAGGGGAAGGAACATTTTCTTAAAGGTAAGTATAGTGGGGGGGAGAAAGGGGCCAGATTGGAGGGGATAATTCAATTTTCCCAAATTCACCTGAGAAAGTGGAATTACTCTTTAATTTTTTAATTTATACTGTGTATGCCTTCTTTGAGGTCATTGTTGTTATATTAGGAATGGATGCTAGGAGGTACAGGTACTTTGTAATAATAAGCTTCTGTGTCCCTGTAAACCCCCTGATTTGCTCTGACTTCCCGTTATATTGGTAATGCTTCTCCACCTGGTTTCCCACAGTGCAATGTCTATTAAGAAGCTTTGACTTGTCATATGGGCAAATGTTTCTAAATTCCATGGAACCCAATTTTAAGAAGATGACACCTGCTAGCTTTAGATGATCCCTGTAAAGTTAATAACTTTAGACAAAATACAGATGACTTTACAGTCATACGGAATATTAATGATTCTCTATTATGGGACCAAAATGGAACCAACCTTTGGACACAGTATACAGAAAGTGTTCTATAACTTTTCATTCCGGTGACTTATAGCAATAAAATGGTGTGTGTTGGCCTGGTCTCTTTAGGATATATTTGTTTCCACTAGTCATTTCTGTATTTCCCCTCACACTTTTCCCACTGTAATTGTCTCCAGTTATACACTTATGTTCTTTTGTAGGGCCCTTTTTATTTTATAGTAGCTTTCAATAATTATAGTATCTGTCGATAGTATTCATGAAGTTTATCGTATATAAAAGTTGTTTTTCTTTTTTTTTTATTATTATTAGGACACAATAATGGATTAAAGCATGTAAGTCAATGGGATGAGAAACTTGGTAACATCCTAAAGCTTTACCAAGAGAAAAAAGAACAGGAACTATCAAATATGCAAACAAAAAATCCCAAAGGAAAAGCTGGGAAGGTAAATGTGGACATCTTTTGTTAGTGCTGGGGAATTAAATCGCCCAATGTGAAGTGTTGATCTTTAGTAGTGGATTTCCTGCTAGAGATGTATATTATATGACTTCAAGCTCTGTGCAGACTTCTTGAAAAGAGCCAGTTACAGAAGTAGATGGTAGAATTCTGGGAAATCCCCTTTTCAAACTGTGGCAAGTAAGAGAAATGTATTTTTTTCATTGCACGTTACAGGACACAGACTATTAATTCAGAAACCTTGGGTTATGCTGCTGTGTTCAGGAAATTGGACACCGGCAAACAAGAGCTGTAAGGACAGCTTAATATAACCCCTCCCACTCCCAACATGCTTTAGTTTTTTTTGCTAGTGTCCTAGGATAACAGACACATATTCTCTCCACTCCAAGAGAAACAAACTCTTTCTTATTCTTTACAGTTTTATCAAGCTACATTTCCTTTTAGCAAGGTTTAGTCAGATACCGTAGAGCCAATGGAGCTCATTCTGCAGCTGCCGGATCTTCTGATCCTTGGCATAGTCTTGGAGGCTGTACCTGGATCCCGATGTGAGGAAAAAGTGGCCAGTGTGTATTGTGTCCTCTTACACTGGGATCTGCAAAAAAGGCACACTCCTAGACATCCTTTGTGTAACCTGGGAGTTAGGTTGCACAATGCTTTACACATGGAAGCCTGTCACTGAAGACTCCATAGGGAGTATGCCCGCTGGCGGGCTGAAGACTATGGAGGGTAAAGCTTGTCCCATCAGCCCAGCCTACACTTTTTAGCCTGCTGTGGGGGACTGCAGGGCGCCCTAAGACCAACTCTGCACTATGTAAGAACTTTCACCTTTTCATTGGAGGCCTGATGTGGTTTTCCTTAAGAGTTAAGAGTGTAAAGTGTTGGGTGCGACATGTTTGGTTGCATAGAAGGAGAGATGCAACACCATTTTTTCCCTTAGGCACCGGTATGCCAGGCTTACTGCCCAATGCACCAAACTGAGTCTGCGCAGCTTCTGTAAAAGCAGGCACACTGTGCTTGCGTTTATCATTTTACTGAGAGCACACCGACCTCTCATCACCTCCTCCCCATCGGCCACCTCTCAGCACCTCCTTCCCATCGGCCACACCACACTAAGATCTATGGGCTCCCTGCTGCCTCTAGAGATTAGGTCACAGCCAGCAATAATCCTTCCTGCTCCTGCAGACGACTGCAAGTAACTTTGGGAATACCTCACTTACGTACAGCATTATGGCAGATCCCGGTCCCATGGGTCTTGCCAACTTCGGATTCACTCAAAGTTCTTGGGCATCTTACAGCATGCCTTCCAGAGGCCCTGGCACAGATAGCCCTCATAACTGCCCCCTGCTTGGCACTCCCCAGTGTTATCACTAATCTCTTCTGGAGTTGCTCCCTCCTCTGTATTATCAATGGAGAAATTCTCTGCCACATTGTCTGAATTTATGGGGAATATTTCAGCCATGTTAGCTGAATTAGAATGCAGTGTCCAGAAATGGGCTGCCACAACCTGTCCTCCAGAGTCGATTTTGACTTCCCATTTGCTGCAGCTACACAGCCAGTTGAGGCTGATGAGGAGAGTCTGTTTGAGACTCCTCATGTAAAAAAGTAATCCAAGTCTGCTGACATTATTCCAAAAATGAGAGAAACCATTTCTGTGCTTATTGATGCAGTACTCACTAACCTTGACCTGGAGCAACCTGCGTAAGACACACCTAAGGTCACCAGCCTGGGTTCTCTTAATAGCCCTCCAGCGGTTCAGACCTTTCCTGTGCATTCACTGCTTCAAACTCTCTTGTACTGTATAGTGAGTGGCTAAGCCCAGAACAAAAACGTTTACTCCTCACAAGCATTTTACCAAGCAATATACTATTGAGGAGGTGTTTCTTAAAAAGTGGGCAATTCCTATAGTGGATCCAGCCATTTACTTTCTTAACAAGACTTTAAATAAAGATCCTGTGGACAAGAGACCAGAAGCCCTTTCTGAAAAGTATTTTAGTGCACAAAAACACAATACAATACCCATTCTTTTGGCAAAATATAAAAGATGAGGTTGCTTCAGATGTTCACTGATCCTTCTCTGCTCTACCTGCCAACACCCGCCATGCCTGTCCTGGCGCCACTGGATGGATGGCGGTGCACGTGATACATGACAGGGGTGATCAGATGGGCAGGAAGGGGGCAGAAACTTCCAGTGTGTTTCAAAGTGATCTGACAGCTCACTTCCATCAGAAAGCTGACATTTGGCCGCAGAAGAAGGGCCAAGAGTGTGTTTAAAGACCTGTATGTTTAAAGACCAGTGTTGCTACCTGTGTTTGACATACATTGGTGGCAGTGAAAGGGTTAAGGGGGAACATTTTGTTGGTGAATCTCTGGACAGCTTGATCAAGGATGTCATCGGGGAATAAGCACTCTCCTACCCTAGCAGAAGAAGGAAAAACCTCAGTTGCGAAAATCCTCTATCTCAGAAACTAGGAAAAGCACCTTTCGCTCAAAATCTAAGGCAAAGACTGGGAGTCAGTTCAGCTCTAAGCCCTGGACTCTCAAAACCTCCAAACCTCCAAACCAGCAAGTCCTCCTCACAATGAGGGGCTCCCACTTGCCCGAGTGAAGGGACGCCTGTGGGCCTTTGTGGCCATGTGGTCCTAGGAGATTTTTCAGATGCCTGGGTCCAAAAGGTTTTTTCCAGGGGCTACAAGCTAGAATTTCACTTCTAGTTCCACCTTGCTCCATGTTGTCAAACATGCCAACATCCCTGTAAAGCCGAGCAGATCTCCAAGCTGCTCTGGCACATCTCCGCCCACACAAGTGGGCGTAGCCATTGTCCAAGTGGAAAAGAGCTTGCAAGGTTTTTACCCAAACCTGTTCATGTCTCCAAAACATAGTGTGTGCATTTGGCCTATTTTGGATCTGAAGGTCCTCAAACCTTTGTTCAAGTTAAAAAAAAATTCCACATGGAATCTGCCCCATTGTGGAATATCTGGATGACCTTCAATTGAGTGAACAGTCAGCACAGACTCTATCAGTCAATGTCCAACAAACTGTTCAGACACTACAGAGGTTCAGGTGGATCCTAAACATCTAGACGTCAGTGCTGGATGACTTATCACTTGGAGTATCTAGGTCTTCTGGTTATTTTACTGTTCAGGGTCAGGAAAAACTCCATACTCTTCACTGGGGGTCCTGGCGTTAGTGGTGGCTTCCTTTGAGGTGGGTTCAATGTTCCCAACATTCTGGTGGTGTGGGACAAGAAGGCTTAGTATCTGGACCAGCACATTCATCTGTACCCCACCACCAGGCTTTTCCTGGCCTGGTGGATCATGAGTCCAGAGGAAGCCTTCCTTCCTCTATTCTGGAGGGTTCAAACAATGGATACCAGCTTGTCAGGTTGGGAAGGAGTCCTGGACCCTCTGTGACTACATGGTATTTGATTGACAAAGGAAGCTTGGCTCCCGATCAGCATTCTGGAGCTCAGAGTGATTCAGCTATCCCATCAGCGATGGACCTCTAAACTGCAAGGTCACGAACCAGGATTCAGTTGGGCAACAAAATGGCTGTGGCTGACATCGACCACTAGGAAGGAACCATAAGTCTCACGGCTGAAAGAAAACCAGATTGAATTCTGTCTCGGGCAGAACTGCACATTCTAGCCCTGTCCACCATACACATTACAGCCATGGAAAATTGGCAGGCGGACTTGCTCAGTTGACAACATCTGGATTCAGAAGAGAGGTCTCTACACCCAAGGTTTTTCAGAACTTCTGTTACAGATGGGAGATGCCAGATTTTGGCTACATAACCAGGTGCAGCCATAAACTGAGCAAGTTTGTCTGCAGGACCAGAGATCCTCTGGCTTTCATGGTGGATGCTCTGGTGACTTCATGGGATCAGTTCAACCTTATTTATGCATTTCCCTCTCTAGAACTCCTTTCTCACCTGCTACCCATGTGATTTCTCATTGCACCAAACTGGCTCAAGTAGATGTGAGACCCCATCAAACTCCTGGCAGACTCTCTGTGGTCCCTTGCAGATCATCAGGATCTTTTGTCTCAAGGAGCGATTTACCATCCTGCTTCTTGGTCGCTGGCTTTAATGGCCTGGCTGATGGATAGGGGCCCTAGTGATTCCTTTCCAAAGACAACTTGCCTCTCATTCCTTAGTTAAATCCATTGTACAGGGTGCCGCTCACATTGTTCCCCCTGGACGCTCCCCAGTGACTCCATGGGGTCTTCACTTGGTCCTTTTGGTTCTCCAGAAACGGCCCTTTGAACCTAACAGGAATATATTTCCCTGTCCATTATCACGCATACATTTTCCTTTGTAGTTGCCATTACCTCAGCTAGGCGAGTCTCTGAGTTGGCCGCTTTAACATGTAAATAATCTTTTCATGTGCTTCACAGAGACAAGGTTGTCTTGAGGCCCAAGGCCTCTTTTCTCCTCAAGGTGGTTTCTTCTTACCACGTTAAGCAGGACATTGTGTTTCTGTCTGTTTGTCCTGCTCAACAACATCCCAAGGAAATTTTCCCTCTACTCTCTGGATGTTGTGTGCCCTGTTCAAGTCTGTCTCTTGGCTACCGATTCTATTAGAAAAATTGACTCACTGTCTGTCATTCCTGAAGGTTCCTGTAAAGGACAATTTTTCAACAGCTAATCCGCGCTAAATGGATACCAATAAGCTAAGGATCAAAATTAAATATATAAAGTCCGCTGCCGTGCCAACTGTGTAGTGTGAAATTCTTAAACCAATGCACCGCGCTGAACCTCTCTTAACAGTATATCAAACGAAAAGTGTGTCTAAATGCTGAAAACAAATATATTCAACCTCCAATAAATAATTTAAATCCAAGGTGATAAAGTTCGCAGTGTAAGTCTCTTATGAGACTTGATAATTGTCCAATAAATCAAATAGTGCATAAGTGTTCGTATACAGTAATATCAAACAGTGCTCAAATGCAGATACATGTTCATATAAATCAGTATGATATACTGCCATTTGGGAACTAATGCCTCTAAGAAAATCACGGAGTATCTTCCTTCAATGATCAATCTCCTCCAGTATATAATGTGAAAGTAGAAACACTCACCAGAAGTTTCTGACCATGCACCTTGGATTGAAATTATTTATTGGAGGTTGAATATATTTGTTTTCAGCATTTAGACACACTTTTTGTTTGATATCCTGTAAAGGACAGCATGGTTTAGGTTCCACTCTATTCAGATGAATTAGACAGCTCATTTGTCATTCCTACAGACGTAAGGACAAGGTTCCTCCTTTTCCTGTCATAGCACACTTTGCATGGTGCCACCTGGTTGTCTGTTTGTTAAGTTTTACCAGGTGGATGTTCAGGCCTCGTCTGATGATAAGGAGCTTCAAGCAGCTCTTTGGGCTCTATTTTGCCCCTTCTGTTAACCCATGGTTCATGTGGGCTTGTTAATGGTTGGTTTTCTGTGTTGTTTTTGGACATCCCAAGATTCCTGAACTACTATCCTGTGTCCCATAATGTACAATTAGGAAAACGGGATTTTTGACTTGCTTTTCTTGGACTACAGTATGGGATATAGGACCCTCCCCTTTGTTCTTATGATTGATTCCTATTGCTGGTTACAAACCGAGGAATGCTGGGAGTGTGAAGTTAAACCTTTATTGTCAGTGTCCAATCTCCTGAAGGCAGCAGCATAACCCAAGGTTTCTGAATTACTATCCTGTGTCCCGTAATAATGTACTAGAAGAAAAGGATTTTACCACAAGTCAATCTCTGCCTGCTTGTTCTGTAGGAATTCTCTTGCTGTACTCATCCCAGAATCTCAAGCAATTGCATATTTTTACTTGGATATACTGTAGAATATGCCATAGCTATGTGTAATGGGGCAAGGGTGCATTGTTTCTGCTTAGTTTTACTTTTTCACTGAAGTCATTTTTACCTTTTATGATTCAGATATAATTTGTGGCTTCAGCTATAAAGTACTCTTTTGATTTGGAGCTCTGAATTTCTTACTTTAGATTTAATGCAATGAGCCTCATGTAAAATCACTAACCTTTACATGTCTGTTACTTACAGGTTAAAGCCTCTATACCCACCTGACAAAGCCGTTTGGAAGAAACTCTTCTGTTTGGCAATTCGATTCAACTAAATGCAATTCAGGAGTTGAAATATCATGGGACATATTCAAGATTACCAGATTTTATTATTACGATATCTTCCCTACCTCCTTCATATATCCAAGGTTTAATTTACTAAGCTGTAATCATTGTTCTTTGTCATAATGAAGGCAATAACAGTCACATGGTTAAAAATATTGATCGTTATGACAAACACGTGTTATTGCTTAGTAAATTGAGCCTGATATCTATCTGTGAAAAGAACCGTAACAAATGTACAGTGTTTTATTATGCCCACGTTTGTCTTCTGGTGCCTGAAGGCAATTTTACTGACCTGCGTCAGATCACCCCCATAGATGGTTATGCTGCTCCTCCTGGGATCCCTGCTCCCTCCTGGGAGAAAGAAAATAGCTGCATGGCATCTGAAAGCCTGCACTGATAGCAGGTTTTTATACAATCCCCATGTGCATCGACTGTTTTAGAAATTCATGTTCATTTCAGCAAGAAGGAGAGCATAGAGGTGAGAACATCTATCTGTTAAGAAGGGGTCTACCTTAGATAATGCTGTTGATATGAAAAATGTAGCAATAATTTCTGTAATTCCAGAATAGTACCTTGACCTGGTCATTACATTCAATAATTTCAGCACGTTATGTAAACTGAAAAATTTGTTACTATTGATTATGTTTTTTTCACTAACATACGCATGACATCTGCAAATGCTAATGTGATCCCCATATGCCATTTTTTTCACCAACAAAAAATTATATTGTGATTTAAAAAGAAATGTTTTGACGTTACCAGAGTCAGTGGGTAATAATGTTCATGTCTAAGTTAATTACTTAAAATGTAATAAAAACCAAACCTAAGGAGCATTGAATTCCCCAATTTAAATTACTTCTGACACCTTAGGGTAGTTTCTTAAAATCTCAATCAACAATCCATTAGAGCTCAACAGGAGTAAAACTAAATCCTCATTTAAGTGTATTTATCCAATCTCTTTTCTCTCTTTCAAATGCTAAATCCATTTTAGCATATGCCCCTGCTTTCTCTCGCCTCTTTCTAAAGCCTAGCAGCTTCTATTACCCTTGTAAATATGAAAGATGCTAATCATATGACATATCACGTCTCAGTCGGAGCCTGGAATAAAGCCTTGAGATGTGGGATCATTGCATCCAGACAACAGCTTCATCAGCCGGAAAGTTGTTTTTTTTTTTCTCTCCTTCCCTTCAACTATCAATCCCCCCTTTGTCTGAGAGAAAATGGAGGCAGTGCAAGTCTTCCATGGCCATATGGTTCACTCTGTATTTTCTTAGTTTGATTCAGTATGCTTTTCTGAGACTGGTCAGTGTATAGTGATACAGAGTATCCTCATCTTGTTTCATTACAAATGCAAAAAACACTACCTATGCAACACTTTCTTTTGGAAAAAAGTTTGTTTTAATTATTATTATATAATATTATAAATAATATTAATAGTATTTAAACATTTATACTTTGGTACAATAGAATGCCAAAGAGAATTTTGGTAATAATCTACCCTGTGATCTACCGTATGTGTCAACCATAATGTGAAGGAATCTACAGTATATACTGATTTGGTACCAATGTTAACAAAATTAGAATATTGTTATAAACAAGTGTGAAAAGACCATTGGTATTTATATCTACATTGGGAGACAGAATATTTTTTAGTAAATTAAAGTGTTTGTGTGAGGTCATTTTATAGACTAGAGTCTTTATTGCACAGCAACCCTCTAGTAAAATGTAAGAAACCTTCTGTCAGGTTTAGTAATAAAATAAAACTAGCATCAGAGAGGCACACATCGGAGGGTTTTTTGACTAACAAAGGTAATGTAGCAGCAGGTGTCCTGTGGTTAAAAAAGACCTTTAACATTGTAAAAAAAGGGAAGTGCCAAGATAGAACTTAGGGAGTTACCATTGCTGCCTTCTGGGGCTTGTGTGTTGTCATCTTTATCCTGGTAGTTCAGAGGCTGCATTTGATATGCTTTGCATTGCACTGAATTTCTATTAAAGTGCATTTAAACTGCAGGTCAAATGCTGTGTCGAAATTGCAGCCTCTGACTAGAACACCCGTTGCCATGAACCGTTAATCAGTTAAATACGTTCTGGGTGCATCAAAAATAAAAGGTGTGCACAGTCTTAAAGTTTGTTTACTTTACAAAGCAGCCACAGCCAGAGTAGAAAAGCAAGCCCCTTGTCAGGATGCTGCATAGACAGATCCTTGCTCTCAGTGTGGAAGCAATAGTCCAATACACCCCCTGTAAGTCACAGCTAGAGCTTTTCAATTAGCAGGTAGTATGAGGATTAGTGATTGTAGAACTATAAGTCGGACTCAGCAGGGGGGGTGTCAGACCTTTGCAGAGAGACCACTGCTTTCACACACAGAACAAGGGTCCTAATATTCAGCATGCTGGCAGGGTACACACTTTTCTACTCAGGCTGTAACGCCTCATCCACAAGGGCACAGAGTGATGAACAGCACGAAGATTGCATGTCTTTATTTATTTAGTAGGAAAAGCTGTGCATCTGTGAGCAGTGAATATCTCTGCATTGGGCCCAAAAGCAAGTATTTTTCCTGGTGAGCTGCACTTAGAGGGGACAGGTAAGTAATAAATGGACAACTGTCATTTTAAATCCCGCTTTAATGGTCAGTCCATCTTCCCCTACTGGAGTTTTAGTTTACATCATGTTGAGTGCAGAAAAACCCAACATGTGGAAATAGAGCCAGAAGGTATTGAGTCCCCAAGAGATATACAAAGTCAGTGGATGATTCAGGTTACCAGACTTCAATTGTAACTGAACTGCATTTTTTGCAGGGGCTGGCCTTTTAAAACAAGAGACATATCTAGGTCCACAAGGAAGCTAGAAGATGTCCAATCATGATGGAAGTAATTTATGATGTACATTAGATATCTAAAACACAGTTAAAAACATTGAATGACTAATTTCTTCTTTACAAAACTTTGATT